ACCCGTTTTTCTTCCTGGTCTGATAGACTTGTAGCTTCCACACTTAAAATAATATGTGAGCAAAATATTAGTTTTGATAAGTTTCTGGTTTTGCTCTTGCCATCCTGAAGAAATGGAGGTAATGTAGGGGAACCTCGATTCGAGCTTTTCGAACTGATCTTTCAATAGTTGAGTGCACAGTCTTCAGAATTTGCGTGTTCTTTGATCAACCATTTCTGTTCGATTGTGCTACAATGTGTTACTGCAAACAAGCTGAGAGAAACATTGGCTAGTGTGGCATTTCTGTATTAGTAACCACAGAAGTAGCTGTCGATGATGGTTTTCTTTTGGCACACCTTTTCCTTCAAGAAACCCAGTAGACATAAAGCAAACTTATTTGCTAAGTCCCCCATCTGCTTCATGCCATTCGTAACGAGTAGTTTGAAGTGTTGCAGCTTCAAACAGTATAAAGTTATGAACGATTTGCTTTGATTTGTAACATTGGGCTGATGCATTCAGTTTGGGTGTAAGGAGCACAAGCTGAAGATCCATAGAAAACATGTGCCGTTTAAGGTTCATCACTGGCGAGATATTTGATGGCTTCAGGTTTGTCTCGTTCTTTTTCCTTGCGCGCTGCCCCTTTTCTAGAATGTGAGAATTCCAAGAATCCTCAGCACGTTGCCCACTTTACGGATAATGCAAAGGTCGCACATATCTTTCTTTGGCATGAACAGAGGCAGGCTATTCTGCCTGATTGTTTTAGTGATTAGGGGGGGGGGGTCTGTTGAGAGGCTGTCTCCCGTGGTCTTGGCAAAATTGTGCATACATTTTGTAGATATCTGAGTTCCTTTGATAATTGGTTCTAAATGTTTCTTGCAAATCATTCACTCAACCCAGTTGAAAGCAGGAACATCTTTTTACACACGGGCACCTTATGACCACCTTTTTGAATGTGTATTTGAAGGTATGCCCAGTCTGGTTAGTTTCTGAATACCTCCTCTGAGGTTGGTTTATGTCCACTAGTCCAATAAAGAGACATTTTTTTCATCCCATGAGAGGACCACACTAAATCAAAATTAATGTGTCTGTCTACCTCGAGGGCCCTTTACATTTCAGAGTTTAGCTCTTTCAATCACAGCTTGGTTTCAGTGACGTAGCTGGGCTTTTCATTAAATCATTATGGTATTCCTGACCAGATCCACGGATGGCCTTCGCTTATTTGTTGCCACCC